GAGCGGCAGGAGACGAGGGCCTGATTTAAAAGATCAGAAATGCTTGATGAATCTCCTGTGTCCGGGCGAACAGATGCCGCCCCCCAAAAAGCATCCCAGGATTGAGACCAGTTAGATCCTGTTCATGGCATACTGGAGCATGTATACGATTAGTCTGACATTGGGCTGGCGAGAGCAGTATTCCGCCACTTTAGTATGTGAGGGTGACACCTCACAGAAATGGCTGGTGGGCTAATGCTGCGATCGCCTCCGTCTCGTTAAAACCCTGGCAGGTCTTCAAGTACGTTCAATACACGTCGCCATTTAGTTGGCCGCACAGGTCCAGTTGAGATTTACTCCTGGTTTTGCGCTGTCTTGGCTCTGAACACAATATCCCATAAGGACTTGTGTCAACCCTCGCGATGGCCTGCTCCTTTGAGAGAAGGGAACTTCGGGACACTTAAAAGCGACTGTGCTACGTGTGGAGATAGCGGCTTGAAGCGGAGACCCAATTGACTGAAAATGAATAAAACAAAACCAATAAACGAAACGAACGTCGATGATACGGAGGAAGAATGCAGCGCATTCAGGAAGAGCAGTAGAGTCGTGCGCTCCCCGCCACAAACTCCTCTGCAGGCAAATTCCGGCACCACGAGCACGGAGAAAGCCGCCGGCGTGGCGCAGAAGGCTACACCTTGCCAAACGGCAACTCCCGGCAGCCGGGATAGTCGTCTTCAAACGCCGGCTGCTGCAAACAGCGGCAAGCATGTCACCGCAAGCTTGGGAACTTGCGAAGGCAATGAAGATGAGCAATTGGCCCAGATTCGGCTTGTCCTGAAGAAGATGCAGAGCGCTGTGTCTAAGCAAAAGAATGTGTCCATGGACATAAAAACAGGTATGGCCCAAATCGAGGAGAGCTTAAATATATTAAGCTACCTCCGAGAGCAGCGCCGGAAGGGGCCTACCCTTTCCGAGCTGCGGAAGGCTGGCCCTGGCTCGCAAAAGAGAGGTCGAACTCGATCCGACTCCCCTACAGGCGAGCCGGAAAAGAAGAAAAATACTACTGCTAATAATAATAATAGTAGTAAAAACATTATTATTAATAATCCTAATAATAATGGCAATAATAACAACAATGCACAGAAAACCGTACCAGACAATCAATGGAAAACGGTTGGAAAAAGCAGAAAGCCCAAGCCAGGGCCAGCGCCAGGTGAACCCTTGGTCAATAAGGGCGAGGCGACCAGCCGCAAAAAAAAGAAGAGGGTGAGAAAAAAGAAGAGTCTCGCCAAATTAATAATTAAGCCAGCTGAAGGCAAAACCTATGCAGAGGTGTTGGGAACGATACGCGGTAAGCTCCAACCCGAGAAGACGGAGACCGTAATTCGATCTGTTCGGAAAACCCGCGAAGGCGGCGTGCTCATCGAAATGGAGCGCTGTGGCAACCACACAGCATTTAAGGAAAATGTGTGCACTGCCATTGGCCAGCTTGGAGACGCCCGTATTCTCACTAGACGTTTACGTCTAGAAGTTCTGGGCATGGACTGCCTAACCACGGCCCCAGAAGTGGAGAACGCTATACGCGGGGAGCTAGGAGACAAGATGAATGGCCAACTTCGCGTCTCTCTCCTCGCTGTAAACTCGCGAGAACAAAGAATGGCCGTGGTGGAAATCGATGAACTGCCAGGCCGGACTCTTATTGAAAAGGGGAAGCTGCGAGTAGGTTGGATTATCTGCCGCGTCCGAGAGCGCGCGGATGTCCAAAGGTGTTTCCGCTGTCTGGGGTATGGCCACAAAAAGGCGGCATGCAAAGGCCCAGACAGAAGCAGCTCATGCTGGAAATGTGGTCAGCAGGGCCACATAGCCTCTGCGTGTAAAGAAAGCCCAAGCTGCTATCTGTGCTCGGCAGGAGATGGACAGAAAAATTCCCATCACCTGCCCGGGTCGGGAGCGTGCAAGGCCTTCAGGGATGCCCTTGCTGAGGCTAAGACAAAGCTTGGGAGAATATGATTAAATTTATACAAGGCAATATGTACAGGAGTAGGGTAGCTGATGACCTGCTGGACCAATTGGTTCTTGAACAAAGAGCAGACGCTGTCATCATCAGTGAACCCTATAGAACAAAAGAAACCTGGCATGTTGACCAATCAGGCTCGGCCGCGATATGGATTGCTAACCCCAACCATCGCGCAGAGAGCAGCGGGGTAGGACGCTGCTACGTCTGGGTTAAAATAGCGCAAATCACTGTGGTGAGCTGCTACCTGTCTCCAAACGACACAGTCCCTGTCTTCAGGGGAAAGCTCGAAGACCTTGAAGACGAATTGCGCGATATAACCGGCCACATAATTGTTGCTGGAGATTTCAACGCAAGAGGCGTGGAATGGGGTATGCCCCAAACAAACACCAGGGGAAGACTGGTCCTTGAAATGGCAGCCCGCATTGGCCTGACCATCCTCAACACCGGAACGACCCCTACATATCGAAGGCCGGGTTTTGGATACTCTATCCCCGACATAACCCTGGTCTCAGAAAGCCTTCTCCGAAGGGCTGACGGATGGAGAGTGATGGAAGACCTGAGTGGTAGCGACCACAACTACATCACCTTCCAAGTCACTGACATCACGCGAGGGCAAACACGTAGTATCCCTCGCAGGAAACCAGGATGGAACCCGTCTAGGGTCGATGTTCGCAAGTTCGATACGTCACTCCTAGCAGATTCCCAAGGCATTTCACCCACAACGGGAGAGATCCACAACAGGGAGTCTTGTACTAAGCTGGTCGAAGAAACTATGCGCTGCATTCACCGGGCATGCAAAGCCTCTATGCCACAGAGGAGAGCATGGTCAGGTA